TACATACAGTTTAAGAAAAGAAAGAAGATGAAAACAGATAAAAGTGAAGCAAAGCATAATATTTACATGATAGGATATCAGTCTCAAAAATGAAGTTCTGACGCATACTACACAATCTGGATGAATTCTGAGGACATTCTGCTAAGTGAAACAAGCTGAAAAAAACAAATATTCTGTCAGGAATCTAGAACATACATACAGTCAAAGATGAGAAATAGCTACTGGCTGCTTGAGGGGGGGGTGTCTCAGGCCCGGGCGTCTCTGGGGCCTGGGCGGGCACAGGGCCCACCCGCCACCATCATTAGGTGGGGGATGGGATTGGGGAGGGGTGCAACCTTGGGCCTGGGGGCTGGAACTTTCGGCAGCCTGCTGGCTGCTGGGGGGGTCTCAGGCCAGGACGTCTTCATGCTCAGATCCCTGACTCCAGTCACTGCATGCACGTGGTGAGCTGTCCCTGGGTGGCCAGCATGCCATTTGACACCAGGCTCCACCTGCTGGCTGCCCGGCCGGGAGCTCTGATGTTTTGGTTCTTTGAATCACTATTTAGGTAGTTCCAGGTTGAACCCACTGTGCTTCTGGGATGTGAATCAATCCTAAAGATTCCCAATGACAGTAACTCTTCCTTTGAAGAACTTATTTTTTTTAAGATTTATTTATTTTTATTACAAAGTCAGATAAATAGAGAAGAGGAGAGATCGAGAGGAAGATCTCCCATCCAATGGCTCACTCCCCAAATGAGCACAACTGCCGGTGATGTGCCGATCCAAAGCCAGGAGCCAGGAACTTTCTCCAGGTCTCCCACACAGGAGCAGGGTCCCAAGGCTTTGGGCCGTCCTCCACTGCTTCCCCAGGCCGCAAGCAGGGAGCTGGATGGGAAGTGGAGCTGCCGGGATTAGAACTGGTGCCTATATGGGATTTTGGTGCATTCAAGGCAAGGACTTTAGCCGCTAGGCCACGCTGCCGGGCCCTTAACAACTTATAATCACTGAATAATGCTGACCACTGAACACCAGTCCATGCAAAAGCTAAGGCTCGGGGCGTGTCTAGCATGGTCAGATCCTAGTACCTGAGAGTGTTAGATAAAGAGACTGGTCACATCAGGCAGGGCCATGACATTAACCAGCACACAAGAGAAGCATTTCTGGGGGTAGATTCTGTGGGGGATATGTGGGCCAAACCTTGTAGAAAATCTAGTCCCACTGGTTAGTTCAAGAGTTGGGGTGGTGATGGACTAAGTCAGGTGTGACCCAGGAGCCTGCCATCACTCACAGGTAAAGGAATTAATTACAGTCTGGACTGGTCAAGGCAGCAGCACCCGAATGTACATCCTGAATAGGGTGTGGGATGGGCTGGGCTGCAACAATCACCAGCTCATACAAGGCCAAATGGAAGGCCAGACTGCACTGGGCACTGGCCTAAAACCCACTGGCATGTATGAGAACTGGGTCTGGGAGTGGATCAAGTGGAGGAACTTGGGAAACTCCCCTGGTAGGTCATAGCTCCCGCTGGTGAACATGTGGTCCAGCCCTGGGGGTCAGACAAGCTGGGAAAGTAGCTCCAATGGCTGGCTAATGTGTGCATTGGTAATGGAACGGGGTGTACTGGGCAGGACTGAGCAAACCTTAGCCCACAAACAAAACTAGAAACCAGGATGGAGCACAGGTCCTGCCAGCTAGGCTCTTGACCCTACTGGTCTGCGTGAGCCAGAGAGGCTAAGACACAGTATATAAGGCAGGGGCCAGGATAGGTGAGGGGCTGCGCCAAGCTTAGTCAGAGCAACCACTGGAATACAAGCGATTTATGGCTGGCAACAGGCGCGGTTGGGAACTAAGGGGACACCCTAACTGGTTTGAGGTTCCCACCAAGGGGCGCATGGCCTGGAATCTGGGCTGTGTTCTGATCAGGAAACGGTTGTAGTCTCCCCTGGCACAAGTGTGGACTGGGACTGAAAGCACCAAGCCTGGCTAGACCCCAACACCATCTGGTGCTCTGGAGGACCAGGGTAGATGTGGAACAGACTAGGCTAGGACTCAACCTCTACTGAGCCATGTGTGAGCTGAAAGGGGGTATGGATGAGCCGTGACTGGGCTGAAACATCCAACAGCAACAACAAGTTTGGGTTGAAGGCCAGTCAGGAAAAGCTACTGTTCCTGCTAGGACAGGAGGTGGACTGAGTAGGGCTGGCTCACAGACCTACTGGTATGTGCAAAATCTGGCACTGGGAGAGGTTCTGATGGAGGAGCCTGGGCAACTTCTCTGGCAGGATACAATCCCTGCAAGTAAGTGCAAGAAGCATGATAGGAAACAACCCAGAACAGGCCACGGAAAGTTTCCCACTGGCATACGTTTGGCATGGGTTGGGGGCAGACCAGGCTGAACCAGTTCATGTCATCCACTGGCAAATCCAAGCACCAGAACAGAGTTGGGTTGGGCCAGGTTCGGTCAAGACAAAAACCAGTGCCAAGGAATGCCAAGGTGAGGTTGCCTGTACCAGATGTGACCACAGCGCCCAACCAGCAAGCATGAGAACAAGGAAGGGAGGGGGCAGAGCCGACAGGGGAATAAGGCAGGGTTCCTTTGCTGGACAGCTACTCCCGCAGGTGAGTGTGGGCTGGGATGGGGGCAGACCAGACTAGGCAGGGCTACAACACCTGTGTGCCTCATGTGGAGTAGATCAGGGAAAAGCCAGGCTGGACTGATTATTCCTACTAGTGCAAACAAAATTAGAGTGGGTGAGGGTTGTTTGGGCTTAGCCGCAGCATCAGCTGGCAGAAGCTGGCACTGGGGGCTAATTCTGTCAAGTCAAACCACAGAAATAACTGGAGAGTGCATAATCTGGGAGTGGGAGAGGCCTGGGAGGGAAATAGTGGGCTCATCCCTCTTGGGAGGGCTCGAAAACCAGGACAGGGGCTGGGGTGGCTAGACAGAGAGACACCCAACAGCATCTGTGTGGGCTGCATAGTGGAGTTGGTTAGATGGAACCAAGCTTCAAAACCCATTGACATGTACGAGAGCCAAGGGGCATGTGGGACAGACTGGACTAGTCTGCTACACATACTGGCAAACCAGGGTAGCAGGTGGGCCTGGTGGAGGTTATTGTGGGTCGCTCTGACTAGGCTGCAGCTCCCACTGGTTTATGGGAGGGCCGAGTATGTGCTGGGCAGAACCAGGCTGGACTGCAACACCCATTGGTTCCAGTGGAAGTCGGGGCTGGAAACAGAACCAACCCAGCAACTGCAACCACCAGCTGATCAGGGCGATGGACTGTGTTGGGCCCTGTACTTGCTAGTACATACAAGAATCGGGTCTGGGAATACCTTAAAGTTTCTTTGGTATCGAAATCGAAATGCTGAACTCAGAACCCTAACCAAGAAAAGGTAGATGACAGAACAAGTCAATCAACCACCTCAGCTACGTGGGCAGCGAAATACTGGGCAAACGGAGACTCTATGATGGTCTATGTCAATCAGTAGATTCTTCAATGACCTCATCGTGCTTGGAGTGGCAAGACTGGCAGCAATTCATAACTGTTGAACTATCAAAATCACTTGAGCAAGAATCTCAGAGCATGCCCCACATCAGTAACTGGGGATGGGTGGGAAACTGGGAGACTGGGTGGGGCTTCTCCCTCAGTATTCCCTTTACCTCAGATACATGAAGGAAACAATATGGAAATAATAGTCTTACCCACTTTCCTGTAGCCCTTGAACCTTTTTACCCTAATTAACTATGTAAAGATTGTCAAAAATATCATTAAAAAAATGAGAAAAAAAAAGATGAGAAAAAGCTGGGAGGTTTCCAGGGGCCTGAGGAGTCAGATTCTGGGGGTACACAGTTTCCATGGGAGAAGAGGGAAAAGTTTCACCGTGGAAGAGGCTTCAGACTCGCGGCTTCGGTTGGCTCAGCTCCAGCCATTGTGACCATCTGGGGAGTGAATCAGCGGATGGAAGAGCTTTCTGTCTCTCCTCTTCTCTGTATATCTGTCTTTCCAATAAAAATAAAGTAATCTTGGGCCTGGCTCCGTGGCCTAGCAGCTAAAGTCCTTGATTACACACAGGGGGATCCCTTATGGATGCCAGTTCTAATCCCAGCAGATCCACTTCCCATCCAGCTCCCTGCCTGTGGCCTGGGAAAGCAGTTGAGGACAGCCCAAATCCTTGGGACCCTGCACTGGCATGGGAGACCTGAAAGAGGTTCCTGGCTCGTGGCTTCTGATATGCACAGCACTGGGTTGCGCTCATATGGGGAGTGAATCATCAGCTGGAAGATCTTCTTCTCTGTCTCTCCTCCTCTCTGTATATCTGACTTTGCAATAAAAAGAAATAAATCTTAAAAAAAAAAAAAGTAAATCTTGAAAAAAAAAAAAGTTCCGCTGTGCATGCTGGTGCTGTGGTTTAGGCATTTGGTCTGTCTGGTGGGTGAGTGTCTGGGTTCAGTTCTGCTCTGTCTGGCTACCCGAGAGGCCAGAGGTCAGGAGGCAGCACAAGCAGCTCATGGGGCTGGATCCCTGCTTACCCATGAGTTTGGCCCGGTAAGATGCTCCCAGCTCTGGCTCCTGCCCAGTCACAGGAGTGGCTGATATTTTAAGTAGGGAACAAGCACTGGGGATATACTGATTCAGTTTGTCAAACAGATCTAAAAAATACACTTCAGGAAATAGTTAACACGGTTACTTTTATCCTAATTCAATAATCTTTAGCTATGAGGAACTTAGCCATGCAGGCTCTTTGAACGTTTGCCTGAAGGCTCTTACCGCAGTGCGCTGCTTGGAGACCTGAGGAGCGCTAGAGCAGCCGGGGGCCCCTCCGCGAGCTGGGCGGCCCGTGCAGCCAGGGTCCTCCCCGAGCTGGGGTCCTCCCCGAGCTGGGCGGCCCGAGCAGCCGGGCGCTCTCCCACCCCGGGATCCGCGTGCGGCCAGAGCAAGGCGCTCGGTGACCAGAAGGGGGCAGGCCAGGACCGCCTCTCCGCGCGGCCGGCCACGGGCTCCACCTCCCCGGCAGGGGCGGCTGGGCGCCTTTGTCTCCACCGCGGGAGGCTGCATTCGCCGGGGTCGGCGGCTGCTCGGGCCCCCGCACTGGGGCCGTGCAGGCACCGCGGTCACCGCTCAGACAGGCCGTAACGGCCCGTCCGCTCCCCACCCGTACTCGTAATCCCTGCTCTCGAGGGAGCCAGCCGTGCCCGCCCTGTATCCCATCCCGCTAGCAGTCATTTTGGATTCTTCTTTTTCCGATTTGAGCGTCTAGGAGGGCGTGAGCATACAGAGTTTGGAAAGCGGAACCGTGGCGGCCACACACTGCCGTGTTACCGCAAGCGCTCCCGTCACCTCCTTTCCCTCAGGAACCGACCCCTTTGTGCCTCTCTGCTTAGGTCTTTCCCGCGTTGAGAACTGCACGCAGATATACTTACCATCGCTGTCCCGCACGAAGCCTACAAGACGCGTGGACTTCCGACTGATGGTCAGATAGCCGAGCTTTATTAACATTATGAGACTTTTAATATACAGTTTGTTCGTTCTAGCAGGTTCCTTTCCTCAGTCTGTTAATTCCTGATCCGCTGCCTGGGAGGAAGCACCTCTCTTTGGTCTATTATTTAAATCTGCAGATTAGGGAACTTCCTATTCTTTTCCATATTAACCGCTCCTGGGGTCCTTTTTGCGGCATGGCAGATGGCTCTGGCTCGACACTGGCAAAGGTTAACAATGCTCTACCACACCACCATTAGACCTATGTTGTCTAACATTTCCCTGTTTTCGCGGAGGTGGAATCAGAAGCCAGGAGCCAGGAGCTTCTTCTGGGTCTCGCACACGGGTGCAGGATCCCAAAGGCCTTGGGCCGTCCTCGACTGCTTTCCCAGCCCCCAAGCAGGGAGCTGGATGGGAAGTGGGACTGTTGGGATTAGAACCGGCTCCCATATGATGTTCAAAGCGAGAACTTCAGCCGCTAGGTCATAGCACTGGGCCCCGCTGAATTTCTGCCATCTTGATTCTATCCTAGCCTTCATTTTATCGTGGTGGCCTCCACCGGCAAGTTTGCCTCACACTGCCTTATTATCCATTTGTCGTTGCCGGGGGTGCCCTGGGTATGGGTTGCAGAGAGCAGCCAGCCTAGACGTCGGAGTTCTGGGATGTTGTGGCACGCGTCACACACTCGGGAGGAGCCAGCTGAGCGCGCAGCCCTGGGCCCGGAACGTGGGCTCAGGCGCGCCCCACGAGCCTCCGCGACCCCTCGTGCGTGCCACAGTCGGGTCAGGGTCCGCTGACCCGCCGCCGGGCACAAAGGGCTCGCAAAGGCGAGCTCATCAGGCCCAAACCGGGCACCTGACTGCGAGCAGGGCGGCGGGAGTCGGCGCGTGCCGGGCCAGGCCTCACGGCGGCAGGTAAAGGCAGGCTCCGCCGGCCTCCGGCGCCCCGGCGAGCCCCGCCTGGAGCCGCGCAGCTCCCGCCCGCCCGAGGAGAGCGGCAGGCCGCTCGAGTCTAGACTCGGGGGACGGGGCAGCGGGGCGCTATGGTGGAGCCTGGGACGACCGTGTCGCCCCGGGGGGAGCTGAGCCGGGCCGCCATGCCCCTCCCCCACTTGGGCGCCTAAGGCGAGAACCGTTTGAAGGAAGGCGCATGCGCACGAGACAAAAGTTGCAAACCGCCGAGGCTCGGTTCGGATGCGCGGGAAAGCGCAGGCGCCTGAAAAATAACTGGAATTAAGGAAGGGCGCCCCAGCTCAGAACGCATGCGTGAGACAATTGGCCAGCCAGAGGCGGGGCCACGCATGGCTTTACGCATGCGCTGGACGGCCGTGTGACGCAAAGGGGCGGTGTGGACTAGCCAGAGGCATGCGCAGAAGGTGCTGCCCGGGCTTTATTTAGGTTGCGCAGGCGCTCGCTGGCCATTTCTTCTCCACGCCGAGGTCTTGTGTGGGTGAGTTCGGCTCTGTGGCTCCCCGGCTCGCCAGCCCCGAGGATGCGGCTTTTTGCGCCCGGTGCTGTTTCCTGGGCCTCTGGCGAGCCCTGGGGAGCGGGGTGCAGCCCCGGGCCGCCTCCGGTGCCGCGGCCGGCCGGCCTTCGCGGGCTCGCGTCGCCGGGGCCTGCGGGCCGCAGCCGCTCTATTGTGTGAGATGTCGGAGGAGGCGGAGCGGAAGCGGCCGCCGCCATTTCCTCGGCTGCAGCTGGCGGCCCGCCAGGTCCCCGCGGCTCGGGCCCCCGCGCGGGGCACGGGGCCTTGCGGGGCCCCCCGGCCGGCGGGCGGTGTGCGGGCCGCCGGAGGCCCCGCCCGGGGCGCTGAGCCGCTGCTCCCGCCTTGCAGGCTGCGTGCACGCCGGCATCCGCGAGGAGACGATGATGTTGGGCACCGAGGGCGGCGAGGGCTTCGTGGTGAAGGTGCGCGGCCTACCCTGGTCCTGCTCGGCCGACGAGGTGCAGCGGTTCTTCTCCGGTGAGTGCGCGGCGCGGGCTGTGCGGGCGGGCGGGGCCGGGCGCCCCCAGCGCGGCACGCACAGCCGCAGCCTCGGGGGCGCCCGGCCCCGCGCCCTGCAGCAGTAAGTCCGCCCTCTGCTCGGGAGGTGGCCGCTGCGGGAATCGGTCGTTTGCAGTGTGCTAGCGATGGTGTCTGGTCGTGGTACTCCTGTGGGAAGGCGTTCCGCGCCGGAAAGTTCGAGATGAAACATGCTAATTTCGGTCATCCTAATACGGACTTGGTCATCGAAGTCCTCCTGATGGAGTTGACCCTGAAGCCCAGGAAGGTTTTCTTATTGCTGTAGCTTTTTTATTTTTCTTGCATGTGTCGGTTTCTGGAATACTTAATGCTAGATTGTCCTTGTTCCCATTATTAGTGTGGGATTAGACTGATGAAGTTGTGTTTGGAAGAAATTTAACAGACTTTTGGAAAGACTTGTAGTATTGGCAATCTGAACTGAGTGTTGGTTGCGGAAATCGACCCGTAAAACAAGAGCCGAGTTCGCTGGAAGCCACCTTGCAGGGGGGAAGACTGGGTTTGGGTTCAGCTGCTCTACCTGGATCATTTTAAGTTGATAACATTGAGCCCTTTTCGGGTGAGTATTGGATTTGAATGAGAAATTGTCGTGGTAGCTACTGATGAGAGGTAAAAGCAACAAATGTCCCAGGTCGAAACTCCAGTGTATGTTCAAAGAGCCATGAACTCTAAGTTCAGGTTTGTTCAATGTTCTGAGACCTTCGGCATGATTTAAAAATCATGAGAAATGAGCACTTACATGCTAAACTAGTGAAGTGCTTTGCGTTGCTGTGCTCGATTGGAATGTCGTTCAAGCAATGAGAGACCCAGGAGTTGGTAGTGTGTTGATAATTGTATTTGCGTCTGCTTGAGGTTAGTGGTAGTAAGACTAGAAATTTCATGTATATCGCCCAGAGGTAGTTTTAGGTTTTAAATTCTGTATTAACGGTTGTTTTCTTTTCAGACTGCAAAATTCAAAATGGGACTCAAGGTATTCGATTCATCTACACCAGAGAAGGCAGACCCAGTGGCGAGGCTTTTGTTGAACTTGAATCAGAAGATGAAGTCAAATTGGCCCTGAAAAAAGACAGAGAAACTATGGGACACAGATATGTTGAAGGTTTGATTCATGTTGCCCTAGTAAAAGTAAATAAGATATTAAACTTGGAGGTCTTACCTTGTTCTGAATTTTAGGTATTTGACCGCATGGAAATGGTCTTCTAAGGGAGTGTATGGCGGCTCTTCCTAGCTTATCTAAACACCCAGGAAGTCTGGAATTTGTTTTCTGGCTTTCCAAAAGTGACTAATTCTAAGCACCTCTTTCAGTATTCAAGTCAAACAACGTTGAAATGGATTGGGTGTTGAAGCATACTGGTCCAAATAGTCCCGACACGGCCAATGATGGCTTTGTACGGCTTAGAGGACTCCCTTTTGGATGTAGCAAGGAGGAAATTGTTCAGTTCTTCTCAGGTATGTAGTCCTGTTTGTTGCTGGGCAGTGAGTTTTGGTTAGCTTCTTGTAATATGACTTAACCTAGACCTAAGTTGAGTAGTGTAGATACACTGATGAAATAAGTTGAAGTATAAGCTGATGAGTAACTTTTCTTCCTGGAGACCTTCAAATAGTTTAAGCCCATCTTAAAGGTGGAAATTAAGTACTTCCCAATGCTAACTCTGCTTGGGTGAATTGTCTTGTAGCTGTAGTTCATGGTAGATGTTCGAGGGTTGTCCTCAACAGCTGAACCTGTTTTCCTCACATTTTGCTGTTCAGCAAAGTACTTAAAGGGAAAGGTAAGATATCTTAACAGTAGATGAGTGTGAGTTAGATGATAATTAGTTGCAGGTCTTTGATTTAAGAGACAATGTGGATACTAGAACCACAAATGCTTCGAAAGGTCTGATTCTCTATGCAGAAGATTGTTAGAAAGCAATTTGGTTTGACCAACCTGTTAATAAACTGTAGGTGAGAGTAGATTAAATGCCTGCAATCTCAGTAGCTGAAATACAGTGTTTTTTGTTTTGGGCCTAAAGTATTTGAATGTTTTTATGCTGAAGACCTGGTTAGGATTGCATGTTTAGTAGAATGCTAGATTGTTTTAAATGCTGTTATTAATATTGATATGGTAAACTGGAATTTTTAAAAAGAAATCCTTTCATGGTTTAGTGGAGTATGTGTTGAAATTTTGATTATTAGAATGTGTCAAGTCCTGATATTTTGAGAACTTGAAATCAAGTCTGTTTTGTTTTATCTAAATTGGTGAAAATTGAATGCTATCTGTCAACGTTAAATATGAACATAATTTCATATCTTCTAGGAAAGTGCTTTAAATCCTTTTTGTAAGCTTGGGAATGTATCCACGGAAAGGATTTTTCATAGACGGATTTTCCAGAAGTGATCATACTGCTTAGATCCTAAGAGTGCATGACTGTGCTGCGTAGATCAGTTGTTTTGTTGAAAGTTTAGATTGTGTGTTTGTCAATTACATAACTTAAGTAATGATTCAAGTTTTATATGAAATGTTTTTTAAATGTGTACAATTTTTAAACTTTGAAGTTCCAATAACTTAAAACATTGAACTTAGAAACTGAGGTAAAAGATGTCTTTTGAATTTACTAAAAACTGTTGTTGTTTAATGCTTGAAACTTTATTAAGTTCTTATATAATTCTCAACATTGAATGCTTAGTTAATTG